TCGTAACTAATCCTCCTTATCTACCTTACGGCTATACTTTATCGCGGGTAATATCCTACTTATAATAAACTCCGTTACTAGAAAATAAAAAATAGGAACCCCTTAAGCCTACTCCGATAAAGTAGACGATACTTTATATAGGTATTTTCTCGATAATAAAATAAAGAAGAAAGAAGAATCGATCCTACTTAGATCTACTATACGGGAGGGGCGGCCTACCCTCTTATATCTCTAGTATATATAGTCCCTATAATCCGCTTAAACGCGTTTAAGTATATATAGTTAACTAGCGTAGCTATATATATAATTAGTAGCTATCCTCCGCCGTTATCCTAGCCTTAGTCACTGCTCTACTCCCCTCCCGGCCGTTCCACTAAATACATAGCCCACGTGATTCTCCGTGTGCCTAAGAACTGCTGCCCTGGTGCCTGGTGCACTGGGACCCTATAACTAAACTTAAGTGATAGGGGGCCATGGGGTAGAGGGAACTCCGTCCCTCTCCTGTCCTCCGCCTCCGGCTTCGGTCCCTTTGACCTCCGGTTAGGGCTCCCTCCGGTCGTTCGTCTCGCTCCGCTCGAGGCCAACGGGTAGTGTTTATATGTAAAGTGTATGGGCGAGTGACCTTGTGTTTGTTTGGAAGGGTGTGTGTAGTGTAGTGCACGTGTTTGTTCTTGTCCGTCGCGCACCCTTGCGGATGCGTGCTCCTCCCGTGGTGTTGAGGTGTCTTGTAAACTGATTTACTAGATTGAAGATTGTGAGTGTGGCTCTCCACACCCGCACCTACGGCGCGTGCGCACCCCCCTTTGGGGGGGTTGTGTTCGTATCTCGGAAGGGATTGTTAATGGTTGTTGGTAGCGCTTGGAAAGTATTATCTTGTAAACGCTGGAGGAATCCGGAGGTGGTCATTAGAGTCGAGTGCTTAAAGTGAATTATCTTGTAAACGTATAGGGTGAACTTGAAAACAATTTCAAGTACCCTATCTTTCAAGTGTGCTTGTAAACGGTCTAAGTAGAGATCCTTCCCCGTCGGCTTAAGTGAAGGCATCGTGAGTGTCCTAGAGTATTCCTATAAAGACTTCCGATATTGCTCCTTCCCCGTCGCATCATAGAGTCGCTCCTCGCGTCGCTCTTTAGGTCTTCTTATAAATGCATCGAGAAGTTTATCACATCACTTTAGTGTGGTGACTCAACCGGTGGTTAGGTACGGCATATAATAGATGAAAGATCAAAGATCCAATCAATTACGATGATCTGCTGCTACACTGCTTCGTTCCGCTAGTCACTGGAACTTCGTCCCGACTTTTCTCCGGTGTGCATCTACATGTCTACAAAAGGAAGTGAAGCTATTCACGACACGTTTTCAGGAAAAGTGCGGTGTATACACGGATATCGCTCTGCAAAACGACTCTGCATCCGATTTGTGCTCCGACTACACATGCCGTCCGGCAATGCAACGCATGCGATGTTCATTCACGCCGGGCACAGCCGAAGATGAAAAGAAAACCTCCTTCCGTCCACGTGAAAGAGGGGTGACTGGGCCTACACCTCGCGACGGTATCTGACCGTACGTTTTCACAAAGAAAAGAGAAAGGATACATATTTTATAGCATAGTAAAAGAAAAGAGAAAGTCTCTAGGTCTTTAGCCACAATAAAGTCTGTGGTGAGGCACCCGCAAAGGTTGTTGAACGCATGTTCAAGATATGTTCCCGGGAACAAAACGAGTCGAAGCCCGTCTAGGGCGTGGGGAGAGTGTGGAGTGAACACTTGTCCAACTAAGCCACCGCAAGACTGTTGTTCTGATCCGCTCGGATCCTGAAGAAAGATTCCTCCCTCGTTCCCACTTACTGTCTTCTCGACCAAACCCTCCCGGGCTATAGGAAAAAGCATCGTCTGTAGTAAAGGGGCTACCACCTCTCTTATCCCTCTCCTGCCGTCGAGTCGTGGCGAAGCCACTATCAGTAAAGCTTCCCCGGCTCAGTGAAAGAGTCAACCATCCTGTATTTAGGCAGTGACCCTCACGGGAGTGTTCATTACTTGATGTCGTCTCGAGTCGAGGGGCGGCAGCGCCTCTATACCCTTCCCGGGTGAAAGGGAGAGGGAAAGAGGAAAAGAACCAGCCGGGGTTCTGTTAAGTGTGTGAGGGGGGCCTCCCCCCTCTATATACCTCTCGGTGCCAGTGTCTCCACTTTGTGCTTGAACATGTTCAAGCATTAGACTGCATGGAAGGCTGTCGCAACCCGCAGTTGACCGACCATTACCCCGCTGGGTTCTTGGTCTTACGACCGCTGTACTTCTGTCCCGTCCGTTGCGCGTAATACATCCCACGTGATGCTCCGTGTGACTAGAGTGTGGGGCGGTTGGCCGTTGGCCCTGGGCCCCCTATATACCAAACTTAAGTGATAGGGGGCCATGGGGTAGAGGGAACTCCGTCCCTCTCCTGTCCTCCGCCTCTAGCTTCGGTCCCTTTGACCTCCGGTTAGGGCTTGTTTGAATGTAGCTGGCCTCTGTGTTTGCGTGTGTGTAAGAGTACTTTCGTGTCCTGTGGTGTTGGTGCCTCGCTCGTGTGCACTCGCTTGGTCCATCTCCGTGGACATTCTGTGCTCTTGTAAACGCGCTGACGTCTGTCTGTATTGTTTCTCTCGTGTGACGTTTGTCCATGCCGTTTGTTCTTGTGAGTGCAAGCGTTCCCTTGCTCCCCTGCGGTCGCGGTCACCAGTCTCTCGACTTGCGTGTGTGTTCTTGTAAACGAACTTACTTGGTTGAAGTCTCTTGCAGCGTGGCTTCTCACAGCCGAACCTCCGGCTCGCCTGCACCTCCTTCGGAGGTAATGACCGTATCCATGAAGGGATTGAGGGTTCGGGGTGGTAGCCGGGGCAGTGACTACGACTTGTAAACGGGTAGGAGCCTACGATTTTTGATCACTCCAGTCTTGTTCATCCCGTCACTGGCTCAGTCCATTCCTTGTAAACGTACGTGGACAACTTGTGAACGTTGGAGAGTTGTTTCAGTCTACGTGTCTGACCATTCCATCTGTCCCTTGTAAAGGCATCAGGTGCTGGAGAGTCCTTGTCTCGTGGGTTGCCGTGACGCTCCCCATGGTCGCTGCTCCTAAGAGCCAGCTGCAGTGTCATTCAGCGCATCACTTGCTGTCTCAGCTTTCTTCCGTCATCCATTCAAGTTGTCATTCCCATTCCTCCTCTACTTGTACAGTCTACCGGTCTACCAGTGGACATGTCGAGTGAAGGCATCGTGACGTCCAAAAAGGGAAGGCGGGGTTACCCTCTCAGCGTTCTTCCTCTGTTGTGTGTTCCTTCCCAGTCACTTGATTCGAATTGTTCGTCTCCTCACCCACTCTTGTTGACCATCCTGGCCGGGGTACGGGACTCGACGGAGCGCCGGAGCGCCGGAGCGCCGGAGCGCGGAGTACATTTCCCCAGTCCTCAAGAAGGGAAACAAGCGGGAGCGTAGCCCGCAGGGCGGAGTGGGAGCGAGTGAACAACGTGCAACCTGTGCTGGGTGCGTTCACAAGAAAGTAGTACCCGATACTTACAACAAAACTGTTCTCTCCGCGTTCACAAGGGAGTAGTACCCAGATGCTCTCTACCAACCTGTTCCTGTCACGGAAACAAGTGGAGCGAAGCCCCGCCAGGGGCTGTTGCGGGAACGAGTGCACTCGGGAGTAGTACCCAGATGCTCTCACACAACCGAGTCCCGTCGCGGGAACAGAACGGCAACCTTGCGTCCCGGAGTGCCGTGGACACATGTCTTGTCCATCTTTCCGCTTGAAAGGAAGAAGAACCTTGCTCTTGGTTCTAGTCGATACGCGCCGTAGGCGCTATTGTGGCGAAGCCACCAAGTGCTTGCATCCTCTGTCTGTCAATAGTACCTTCCTCTCGTCCAGTGTTTCTAGTCGTGCCGCAGGCACCATGCTCTCTCTTCCCGAAGAATAAAAAGAAGAAGAGAACCATCCTTGGTTCTGTTGTGTGTGTCGAGGGGGGGCACCCCCCTCTATATATACCTCTCGGTTGCTGATCCCCAGTTTTGTCCGGGTTTTGCCCAACCCTTCCTTCTGCATGCATGGAAACCGGTGGTAACCTGCACTGCCTGACCAGCGTCATCCCTCCCGTCTGATTCGCTGCTATGACTCACTACTTGTCTGCCGGTCAATCCGTGCTAGTACTGCAGTGAATCACGTGCGTTCATCCTGCTCTATGGGCTGGGCCGTTGTGCCATGGCCCCCTATAAACCAAACTTAAGCATATAGGGGGCCCTTGGGGTAAGTGACCTCCCGTCACACCCTCTTCTCCCTCCAGTCGAAGTCACTCCGTCCCGTCGTTTGTCCTCCTTCCAGTCGGGTACTCCCTCCGGTCGTGGCCCAGATGTACTGTTCGTATGTGTTGAGTACGTGCCCGGTACTCATTCTGTGCGTCCATGTCTTGTCACTTTATTCCCTCGCTCATTACATTCGCTTGGTCAATCGTCCCGGCTTTTGTGTTCAGTCAGTGTCCGTCGTGCGCCCTCACGGACGCCTACTCCTCCTTCTGCTGGAGTCGACCACCTTGTAAACGCCTTACCCAATCGAAGATGGCGAGTGTGGCTCTTCACCCAGTCCTTCGGCCTGTGTGCACCCCCCTTCGGGGGGATTGCTTCCGTAGTCATAGAGGAGTCCTCCGGAGGTGAACAGAAAGTCTGTCCCTTGTAAACGGTTGTGGGGTCTACTATCTTGGATGGCATTCTTGTAAACAGTTCAAGACAAGAAGTACGGTCAGAGTCATATCAAGATGGTTCACAGGTGGTCATGTATTCGTTCACATCAAGTTGCCCCATCATCACTCTTCGTGTAACTAGCCTAACGCAAAATGAGGGCATCGTGACATGCCGATGCAACAAAGATTCCATCAACGCCGTCGCTGCGTAACCGAAGCGCAAGAAGAAAAAACCTTGTCACGTCGCCCGTGTCCTGACTCCAAAAGCATGTCTTAGCTGGCGCCTCCGCTGGTCTAGTCCTCTCGGGACCGATTCACCCAACTCCGTAGTAGGTCGGCCGCTTCCTGTGCTGGTGCCGTCTATCCGTCAGTAGACGTTTGCCAGGATGTGGGGGGGAGCACTCACAAGAAACATTGTCCAAGTCTCCCAGAGTCGCTGGGCAGCCGGGAATCGGGTTCCCCGTGCGGACATTGCAGAGGGGCGCCAAGTCGACACTCTCGTGAACGACGATGCTGTTCTGCATACGCGCCGTGAAGTTCTTGTCCCTGCCAAGATCCAGTTAGCTACCCGCATCGGGGAAAACAGCAGAGCGATGCTCACAAGACCGTGACCTTGCGGTCTAGGCCGTCCACTTTACGGTCTAAATCATCCAACTTCCTGTTAATCGTGCGCATCTCGTTCCGCAAATCGTTGCGCATGGCTTCCAGCGCTTGTGCGAGTCGAAGACCGCCATCGACTGCCGGAAGATTTTGACACCGTGAGAACTCCTCGGACAAAGCCGATAAACTGTCCGCCACCCGCGGAAAAGAGGGCTGTGGAAGGTCCTGCGCGGCCTCCATCGCTGAAGCAAAAACGAGGGCCAAAAAAGGCACTGCTGGGTGCTAACGAGCTGCGGTCTAGATCTGCCTGATCGTTGGGTGCCTAGGTGATGATTACCGTAGGTGCACCTGCCCCACGGATGCAACAAGAGGTGTTGGACGTGTCACGTCTCCGCAGTAACGAGTGCGCGTAGTCAGCTGACTCTGCTGCTTGCTTTCTCCTAAGCAAACCAGGTCCCTCCGGACTTTTATTCGTCCCGCGCCGTGCGCTGGGAAGAGAAGGTAGCCTACCCTGGATCAAGTCCCTTTCCTGGGGAGAAAACGATGGAACTTCCGTGATCCCGACGGAAAAGTAAGAGAACAAGTGCCAAGGGCAAGTCTGCCCGACAGTCGCTCCGGCGGGGGATCGTCCCCTTTTATTTATCCCTTTCCAAGGTCTTTGTAGTATCCGTCCGGGTCTCCTCCCGTCCAGTTGTGGAGTCATGCAACCACTACGTGCAAGCTGACTTGTGACGCGCCGTCTCCGTTCCACTCAACAGGCTCTTAACACTCAGTCCCTTCTATCCTCTCCGGAACTGCTAGTACCACACTCAATCCTGACGGAAAGGTGTCTAGAGCTGGGCCTGGGCCGTGGGCAATGGGCCCCCTATAAACCAAACTTAAGTAATAGGGGGCCGAAGCACAGAGTGACCTCCCGTCACATACAATCCTCGCCTCCAGCTGCGGTACCTTTTCCCTCCGGTCAAGGTCAGTTCCTCCCTCCGGTCGTGGCCCATGTGTACAGTTTGTACTGGCAATGTACGTGCCAGTGACTCCCGTCTGTGTGTCCTCCACACTCTTCCTTTGCTCGTTGCACTTGCTCAGTCAAGAGTACTGTCTTGCACATTCTGTGTAGTGTCCGTCGCGCACCCTTCCGGATGCTCGCTCCTCTCCTCGTGTTTACCTCTTGTAAACGCTTTACTCGATTGAAGAACGTCAACGTGGCTCTTCACAGTCGAACCTTCGGCTCGCCTGCACCCCCCTTCGGGGATTGATTCCATAGTCATCAGGAGTCCTCCGGAGGTGAACAAGGAGTCTATCTCTTATAAACGGGGTTGGCTAGGTATCTTGTGTGGTTCACTTGTAAACGCTGTGGAGAAAAGGGGCGTGAAGGGTGTATGTCTACTGTCACGATTATTTCTGGTGTTTATCGAGGCGCGTGGGCAGGGATCGAATTGAGTTGCCGTGTCAAGGCTAAATGTTCTACTTCACATGCGCTGTTTGCTCCGACGACGAAGTTGGAACGGTGTCCGTGGCCACCGGAGTAGGGAAAGAGTCCTGCCTGTCATGACTGCGGCCCCTTGTATTCACTTCCGCGAACCACCTACAGTGGCTAAAGCCAACGCCAAGACCCACCGGGGAATCTACCTCAGACATTACGAGAATCCATCGTCTTCTTCCGCACGGACTGTCAAGGCGGAACGGTCAACTCCAGGCGATAAAAGATCTCTGACCGAGTAGCCGGACAAGGCCTCCACATGACTTCGCAAGACCTCACCTTGCGCCCACGAGAAAAACTCGCGCTCATCCTCAGGTCCGATGGGCTGAATGACGTTTACCCACTCGGGAAACTTGACCAGGGCCACGTCCCCCCGTCTGGGAGTGACTGCAACGACACCGTACATGACACAGTCATTGACCCTCGCAAGACGTGTGAGCCGAAACATGCCCGGAAGGGGCTAAAGAGGTGGCGAAAGGACTGCTCCCAGCACTCGTACTGGGTCGTGTCGAACCAGCAGCAACACATGTTGTACCACAGCCGTAGCAAGGCCGGGTTGATGCACGGGGACCGACAGCCCCTCGCTCACTCGAGTCCATGTCCGATGCGCTAGAAGATGGGAAGAGCCGGCCGGGCTCTCGTCAAACGACAGAAAGACCATGATGAGAACAGATCCGCCCACTGGGGCTGATACTTCACGGCGTATGATCTCGTCGCGGAAGAGACACAACCCTGTCTCCAAGATTCCTCCGGTCCAACAGCAACAGCAACAGCAAGGCTCACGCCCTCTTACCAAGCTGTATCTGCACACCCAAGTGGCAGAGAGGACCTCCGCCCGCCTGAGCCCGGTTGCATCAATAACGTGTTCCCGTTCCACTCAAACTTCCAACGAGGTAGAGTGGCTCCCGAGCCAAGAGGACGAAGAAACCCGCCTCGTGTCAAAGCCCCACACCGCTTGATGTGGGAAGGGAAAACCGTCTCTCGGCCGGTTGTCGAAGAGTGGCGAACGTGTCTCTTAGATTTACTTCCGTAAAACTCACTGCCTGGAGTGTGAAACGATCAAGCCCGTTTGGGCCTACGTGGGTGGGCGCCCCCCCGGGTTTTATACTTCTCGTATCTCATGTGTCCGGGTGTCTGTCCCGGACGTTGGTGGAGTCAAGTAAGCCGTGCCGGCAACTGTCTCGTTGGACCCGCGCCCTCCCCCCGGTCGGTCAGCTGCTATGACTCGCTCCGTTCCCCCCTTGTCACTCCCGCGCTATGCACTGCAGCGTATCTACTTTGTAGTAACACACTGCTCTAGAACGTTGGGCCGTTGTGCCATGGCCCCCTATAAACCAAACTTAAGTAATAGGGGGCGCGGCAGTCAAAGCGACCTCCCGTCTCTTTGTGTCCCTCACCTCCGGATCGGTACCTTTGACCTCGCTCCACTCGTTCAAAACTCCTGCGTGAAGTTGTAGGCCAAGCCAGCTCTGCTCGGTCGCCGGGTGTGGTGAAAATGGCAAGAGTCAAGACTGTGCCCAGCACAGATGACAGCAAGCGGGCACCTAACCCGATAAATAGTGCGTAGCGCGTCTCTAGAGAGACAAAGGACGCGTTCGGGCTGGTAGACCAGTCAATCCATCTTGACTCACGCGAGTGAAGGAGGCCTGTGCAGAGTGAGTACACAAAAAGAAAAACAGTTCCACCGGGAATTTCCCGCTCCCCTGATGCCGAGAGCCGACAGCTTCCATATGGAAGGTGGATGAAGGAATGAACCATCCAAGGTTCAAGTGAGTGGGCGAATCCTCTTCTTATGTCTCCGACGCGTACAGTGTCCGGGCTCTGCGCCCGTCCAGTAGTGGGGTAAGGGATTTTCCGGTGATCTGCCGGATCTGGCGATTTGCCGGATTGCGGCGACTTCGCACGCTCAACATCAATCGACGATAGCTCAACATCCACGGTGCCAATTGACGTATCCTTTGAGTGCCTGAATTGTCAGAAGCAGTGAAAGTCTAGGATATATTTAGAAGTTTTATCTAGGGGGCAATGCGCTGCGGTGCTGACATCAAACGAAGCAACGGCCAAAATAGGATTCCGACAGATTGTGTAAGTCATTTCGGCCAACACAGCAAAAACAGAACATTATTGACTTTCATCGTGGGCTTTAATCATGTGGGATTCTCCCTATTATATCCATAGCGCAGAAATTGGCTCAGGATACTGCCAAAAATGGGGGTTGGAAGGGCGACCTAGATAACCTCATTCTACGCACCCGTAATGAGCCAGATTGAACGTGATTCGACGCTACGAGCATCTTCTGAAAAGAACCTACATATGCATCTGAATGTAAGGTTTATTTTTAGCTTGAACTTCAGTGCGCGAGGCTCCTCTTTCACACCTGACAAGGAAAGATGCGCACGAAAATTGAAACTCGACACCCTGCCCTAAAACACGTATAACATGGATGAAAAGGGATTTCTATTCCTTACGAGCATTTGAACGAACATTTTATTCCTCTTATTAGAAAAAACAAGGCAAAATTGCTCGGCGTATTAAAAAATGGCAACCCATCCTCCCTTACGTTCAAGATGTGCGTCAGTCAAGAGATGGCATCGCTGCCCCCATTTCTCATCCACCAAGACAAGCCAGCACAAACCCTGGACTTTTGGTTGGTGAAACGTGAATCAAGTCGTCAATAAATATTTTTTAACACGTCAAAAACGAGGTGGATGAATCACAATATTGGAAAAGAGCAGCTCGTCAGTACGTTGGACCGGTTTACTAAGGCGAAGCTCGAAACGGTCGTGCTTTTCGCCTTTTGGTTACCGATGGCCACTTAAACATTTTAGTATGGATTTTATGGGTGGTGTGACGGGCACCAGATGATCGTTGTGGTGTTTCCTCCTCATTCCACTCATCGGCTGCAACCCTTGATGTATCGTTATTCAGCCTCTCTCAGCAGCGTATATGTATAATCTTCTTCATTGTACAGACAAATAAAAAAGGTTAATTAAATCGTTGAAAATGAAGCTCTAGACTGTGTTTTGGAAGGCATTTCAGGAAGTAGTCGAGAAGACCTCTGTTGATGCTGGCCGCAACAGCCGAAGGCTGAGTAGCACCCTCGAAAGCCCTCAATGTGCGTTTTAAGTGATTTATATGAGAGCTTAAGTTAGAAGAGAACAGGTAGTCACAAGCACCAGCGCAGGCAGGGCAGTAAGGCTCCAAAGATGATCTCTTCTGCTGTACAGATTGGAATGCAGACGAGGTGTTTAGCTCTGCAAAAGTGGCTCAAACTCGCTAAAGAAATACAGCTTAAGGACCCCAACAAAAAGAAGAGGCTCTGAAGAAGGAGACCTGAAAGTTTCAGCAACAGAAGAAGGCGGCGGAGCAAAAGCTTTCGCTCTACAGAAGAGGAAGCAATGAGAGGCGGAAATTGGGAGAAAACGACGGATGACGGAGGCCGTGAAGCAAAATATGGAGATAAATTGGCACTATTAACAAGAGCTGAAGATTTTGACTATGGAAAAGCCCCAGAAAATGCAGAATGAGCGACGGGTGGCCCCTGAGGGTCGCGTGAGGAGTCAGGATGCTCACGCCGCAGAAATTGTCACTCTTCCGTTCACACCAGAGCGGACCATAGCAT